GAAAGAATGGGCACATCCCCAACAGCAGCCCGCGTTTTTGACCTGAAAGGAATGGAAAATGAAACAAGAATTTGTGTTCACTATCTATGGAGCGGAGTGACTATCCTTAATCTCCTCTTCCATATCTCCCCCTTGCCTTTTTTCTTTTTCTCTCCTAAAGGTAGTTTACTTGCTTACTTGTTAGAGTCAGGAGAATCCATTTTTTTTTCTTGTTTATTATATTATGATTGATCTGTAGTTCAAGGGAACTCTTCCTAATCCGAGTTTATTATATTATGATTGATCTATTCATCTCTTTTCTCAAATGGATCTTTAGGGATCTCTCTTGTTCATAGATCTTGAAACTAGATCAATAATATCCATTTCTCAATATATCTTTCTGGATCTATCTCCATATCTAAGAAAGAACCAACACTTAAAGGGCATAACCAACGGAATGTTCTCACCCCCTGTCCCCGACATAGTTCTCTGATGATGCCCCCTGGGCGAAAGGGGCCACCATTATCTTTCTTTCTTCAATCGTTTCGATCAGGACAAATGGGTTGGTTTCGTCCTTCTATCTACGCAATTATCTATCTTCGTCCGTGATCATGTTGGCCAAAGGTAGTTAGTTGTAGAGGAGCTGCTGTGAAACGGTGATTCCCCCCTTTCCATTTAAGTAGGGGGGCCTCCTTCCCCATCATTCCGGCCTATTATTTATAGGGATTTTACCAATGCTGAAGGTTGCTTGCTTACCAAGCCACCCACTTCATAAGCTAGTCGCCAGAAAGAAGCGGCGAGGATGTGAAGCTTCCCTCCCCCCTGTAGTCGAAGTACTCGGAGCTACTTTGATTCAAAAGGTAACCGACAGTTCCCGACTTTATCCGGTTTCCGCAACCGTAATCATTTGTCACTCCATCCATAAACCTTTTTTTTCAATAGCGGTACGCTCTACAAAAAGTAAAGGATAAGCTTTCATTCTAGAAGCGGTAGCTTCCCGCCTCCTTAATTTCTAATGCCTTGTCTCCTTCAGTGATAAAAATTACCTTCCCTTTTCTCAAATGCCCGATTGGTCTGCCTTAGCAAATGTACAAAGTGGACCGCTGTTTGGCTGACCCTCTTCTTCCCATTCGGGTTGGGTTGACCCAGAAGTAAAGTAAGAAGGAATGAAACCACTGGAGAGTCTTCCGTAGTTCACACTTGGGCAAAGACGACTGACTTTGTTTGGAAGCGGAACACGAACCGATTTCCGCTATTCCAGGTTCTTATTGAGCGTAGCGAAATCAAGGTTATTTATTATAAAGTCAGCGAAGTTTCTATGGTGTTCTACCTTTGCGTAGTATCGGTCCACAGTGGAAGGCTTTGTACCGACGCCTCACTACTACTTAATTAATGGCTAAGCTATTTCATAACCTGAGCTTTCCTTAACCAGCTGACCTTACTTCATAACCTTAACGTACTTTCTTTCTTACTATATCATAGGCCTTCGCCACTTCAAATGGGCGCTTCGCCCTTTCTTTTTTTTTATTAGAAAAAAATGGGGCCTTACTTATTCAGTTCGGGGAGGATGAAAGACAAAGAAAGGGATCAGGGGGCTTCTTGATCGGAGAAAGGGAAGGGACTTTTTGGACCTAACTGAGAAGGAGACAGAAAGGGATCACCTGACCTTATCTTGAGTGAGAGAGGCAAGTCACAAGGCAAAATGCTTAGTCATTTTAAAGTATGAGGGTGCGGGATTTCTATGTCATTCAGTGCCTAAAGGCAGTAAGTCAAAGAGTATGAATACCAGCTCTAGTACTAATACAAGTACCAACAGCATGGCATTCAGTAAACAAACAACTCTCCCAAAATAGACTAGCAGCGGAAAGATAGTCAGTCTCTTCCCCCTGCTTCATTCATAAGTAAGATCGCTTTCTCCTCTCTGGGACTTTCCCTTAAATCAGTTAACTGGGTATGAGAAGGCCTCCCATCTAGTCTATAGTAGCCCTTCTTCCTCCAACCCTGAGTTCCAATGAGACCAGCCGAGCCAAGCGAGTCCAATAACAGCATCGTCAATAGCAGAGGATATCCCTCCAACAACTTCATTTTAGGATGGCACTTGCACTTGGGTTGGGAGCTTTTCCTTCTCTATGGCTAATTCCTCGCTGGAAGATCGCCTTTCACCTGGTTCTATAAAGAAATAAATTTACCGGTGTGAGCTTCTAGTTCTGACAACAGCTAAATCTAGGGCACTGCATAAGGAATAAGGAGGAGATTCCCTGGTATGAATTCAATTGATTGGGCATTTCTCTTGGAGCGATGATTCTTGGCCACTTCCTATTAAGATAAGGTTTCCTATCTGAAGTCTTTGCTGCTGTTAAAGGATTTGTTTCGCTACGCCCATCTTCCCGAGGCCTTAGCTTCGTGATTAGGAAGCTTCTTTGTGAAAATCCTCATATCCTTTCTTCCGGATGAACGAATCAGACTGAACCACTGTAGAATTTTAAGCTGCTGGCAAAGAGCTACTCTTTCCCTCCACTCCGGGCTGACAAGCTTATATCTCTCGATAGCTGCATCAGATCTTTCCTGAAAGTTGGGCAAGGTGCGAAGCGAACTCATATCGTCGTATACCCAGGGTGCGTAAGCCTTCTGATCCTACTTTTTCGTTTAGATTATGCCAAAAAGATGGGGGAAATGATCAACTGTCACATTTTTATGCCAGTTTAGGTAGGGCTAAAATGAACTTTAATCCAAAAAGACCGAGAAAATGCTCAACTGGAAGGATTGAACTGTCACTAAAGAGGGAAAAGTGATTGCTTCAAATTTTCCCGATAAAATCGCACATTCACATTGAAGATAATCGGTTGGCTGTGGGCTTGATGGAAGATAAGAATTCAAGGATATCTTTGGTAACTATTTTCCCCACAATGCTCCAGCTGGATTGAAAGAATTCAGCAGTAAAACCGTCAGGTCCTTGTGCCTTATTTGCCTTTAGAAAGATTGTCTTCTTAACATCATCAGCCGTCATAAGAGCCACCAGTGCAGATCCTTGCTCATCAGTGATAAAATGGCTTAGCAATGATCTGATCTCTTCAGTGTCACCACCTCAACCATTTCTATCTGCAGTTCCAAGGAAATTCTTGAAATGCTGCAAGAATTCCTTTTTAATCAATGCAGGTTCCTCAATCTCCTGTAGCAGAGGTGATAGATAGAATTCTGCTCTTAGCAGCTTTGGCTTTGACAACTCTGTTAAAATAGCAAGTGTTTTGATCACCATCTTCAAGCCTGTTTACTCGGGATTTATGTTTCATAAACTGCTCCTCAGGAAGGACACTTGCTTTCTTTCTTTTAATGGTTTACCCACATACTAGAGGGTTAAGGCTCTCACCTTCTTTTCAAATCAAAGAAAGAAGAGCCCGGACCTTTCCCACCTCCCTCAGTTTTTAGTATTAATTTCTTTTATCCTTTTTATTTTAAGCGTACTTAACCTGAACCCTGTCTATGAGTAAAGAAATCTTTGGAATCTTTCCTAATCCACTTTATATTTGTATTATGCCTTGGGAGCCCAGTCTTTAGGAGAAGCAGCTGCTCACTCGTGACTAAGGAATGAATGCCTAGTTATGTCAAACTATCCTCAATCTCTTTCCCCTATCGGAGTTCGAGATAGGTACACGCGTGATAAAAGAAAGCTTTGACAGATCCATTGATCACGTTAAGTGCACATAGCCCCTCTCGGTTGGTCCCTTTTCACCCTACCTCTTTCGCTAAGACCCTTGTCTTGTCCCTATATATAGCATGTTTAGGAACCTATCCTAGAGATTGTGTGCCAAGAGTGGGACATTTCTCTTAATAGTAAAGGCGTAAAGGCTCAACTAGATATCTTCTTTCGGTTCTTACTTTTCTAACCTGAGAGACCCACTACTCCGTTTTTTCCATTCGCTACTTTTTATAATTGCTGAAATTGGTGGAAATGGATCCTATTTATTTAGCGTGATTCTTCTCTAAAGGAACCCTCGGGAGAAAAAAATAATAATTCTTCTTCTATGTTTCTTTGTCTCCTTGGTTCCTGGGTGAGTAGAAAGGGGTCGATGAAAGGCCATTCTATCTACGAGTCTATCGGAGATCCAGTTGGTACGTCGTTACGGATTCATAGCGAAGCCCTTTCTAATTTCATCCATTGGTGATTGCCCATCTACATCAATAAGAATGAGGCGTGACTTCTTTTCCAGTAGCTATGCCTGAACTGAACCTCGTACAAGACTTTCTTTCCGGCCTTAGGCTTCCCAGTCTCAGGAAAAGAATAGCTCTTTCGGTCAAAGTCGATAAGGATAAAATTCTAATAGCTAGGGTGGGATTGTCCTATGTTCTCAACTCGGGAAGGAAATCAATAAGCATGGATTCACCTATCCCAGAAAAAAAGAAATATGCTTTAGGTTTAGCTTTCGAAAAAGACAAGGCCTTACAACAGCTCATTCCCGGAAGAAAAAGAAGAGGATTCTAAGCCCGCCTAGTGTATAGCTTCCAGCTCGGCTAAGCAAGGACTCCATCCTAAGTAATGTAGTCTGAAAGAAAGATGCCACTTGCACTATATATATAATGCATTTTCCTGGTACACCAAGCCTAAGCAGCTCAGCTGTTGAAGCGACCTCTAAGCCAAAGAGAGAGTCTATGGCGCTACCCCTACTGTCAGGGAGAGGGTCTTTGTCCTCGAGGGAAGGAAGCGTAAGCCAAGCCATCTTAACTAATGACTGGTCATTGTTACCGAGTTCGTTCCAACGACTACGACCGAGACTTTTTTCTTTTCATCCTTAGCGCCTCAGTCTAGAGAACTCCAATATTTATGGAGAGGGACTTAATATTATTAATTAGCCTCGTCTTGACTAGCCTAGTAGCTCTGGTTGCTGAACTATTGATGAAGGCTTGTCGTAGATCAACTTTTATTGACTACCGGAGATGGCTTTATTGCCATTTCTTTATTCGCCGACCCGCCTCCCACTTAGAGCGTGAAAGGGGAGAAGGAATAAGTCTTACCTGAGTAAGCCTTAGGCCTTAGGGGAGTCACCTTCTGATCCAGATTCAATGATTAAGGAGTTTGAGTGAACACCCGGTGAAATGGATTTAGGAAAGCACGTGCCATCCTTGGTTCTTGCTCTAGTTGTCGGACTAGGAGCAGCTATATCATCCGCAGCAGATCTTATAGAGGAAGAAGTGATGCTTTTGGACGTCTTTCACAGAGGCTATAAGCATCGATCTTGCCTTGGTGTTGACCCAAGGGAGAAGCCCTTTACTTGTTATTTTGCGGCAGGAGCGCTGTCTTAACTTAATTTATTCAAAAACCCTTCTTGCTATACTTTCCATATTGCTAATCTCGAGCAAATAAAATAGTTTTCTTCAATCAGAGAGTTGGCTTAGTAGGAAGAAGTGGGTTAGATAATAGAGACTGATCTAAAGGTGAATCTGCCAAACATAAAAGAAAGAGCCCACTGCAAATCCTCTATCTAGTTTAGATTACACAGTTGGTCAACAGACTTGAAAATATGAACCCGAAGTGGATGCCCCAGATCTTAAATTCTTTGACAAAGAGTCAGCTTCCTTCTTAGTAGATGGACGAGGGCGACACTGCCATACATAGTCACCCATAGGACTTTATTCACATAATCTATGATCCGACAAGTTGAACCTGGCGAAGTAGACTCTCCCTAGAAGCTGATGTTGGTTGTTGGCTAGGTATACCCGAATTCGGTTTACCCATGGAACTTATGATTCCCTTGCGATCTTGTCTTCCTACTATAGAAAGAAGGATCAGCGCACGGATCAGGATTTCGCGGAAATAGGCGAATGCTATGCCTAAAGTAAAGGAAAGGTAAGTCAAGGACCGAGCATTCTTCCAATGCGAGACCTTCTTCCTTTACTGCTTGACTTTGTTTGCCTATCCACTGTTTTTTAAGGGCATACCCCCAGGTGCTATTGACTCAGCTCTTGGGGATATCATAGGAAAGAATGAAGCGAGGGACGAAAGCATCTTAGGGAAAGGATAGGATAGCCAAAGCATTCAGATTTTATGCTTAAGTAAAGTCCTCACTGCCACGCCATTCACTTCTTTCTACGCTAAAAGATCACAGGCTTGTTAGTGATGTGGAGTCAGATTCCTACTGACCCCTTGCTTGAACCTAAAGTATACTTAACTGAGCAAGCTAGGAAGAAATCATAGTCGTAAATAGACAAGACTGTCCTACCTTCTAGTACGACGGAAGATAAAGTAAATCCCTACCCTAATACACAGCTTCAAACCGGGTGTAGGTTCGCTGGAAAGTTAGTCTTCATCGACTAATTTGATTAGCATCCCGCCTTTCCTGGAACTTATTCACTCGGAGTGGAATCGAACCACGAAGAATTTTCAGTCCTTTTCTCTAACCAGCTGAGCTCCAGCTCCCCGAAAACAAGGTTTAACTCTTTCTTTGTTGAGGCCACTTGTGTAGGAAAGCCCTTGATCGAATGGCGGGGTCTGCTGAAGTGCGACCCACGTCTTCCTCGTCATACAGCACAGAAGTCTGACTTCCACCTCAAATGCAGCTTCTTATTGACAAATTGCAACCGGAGTTTGCCATGGCTGATCATAGTTTTCGAAAGAAGATCGAGAAAAGAAGCCAAGACCCTTCTACCGTACCGAATTACGCTTTCACCAGGAGCGTAGCGAAAAACAAACAGTAAGATTTTGGTCCGGCTTACTCTCTATACTTAACATATCTTGCTTCCCTATCACCATCTCTTCGGAATGGTACTTAATTCGTACTCCCCAGGCTCCGCACTCACGATACCCCCACAATCTAGTATAAATAGTGGTCGTTCACGTCAGGAAGGAAAAGAATAAAGAGGGAGGACGGATCCCAAGGGTAACTTCAAAAGCAAACATGCTTACTGTGATCGGTGGAAATAGAACTGACTGTTTTGGAATGCTGGTTCGCGTTTGCGTTTCGCAAAATGTCGCGGTAAGCAAGAGTCGCCACCTTCTTTTATTTTCTCCAACAAGGAAAGGACAAAAGCACAGCAAAATTCCTTTTCGAGATGTTTCTCGGTTCAGGAGGTAGATTATAGAAAGGGAAGGTGTTAACACCCTTTCTATCCGTGGTTATCCACGGGCTCTTAGGTACTTGCTCACTATGTTTTCAAAAGATTTTGCTTTTCTTGTGTTTGTGGGTTTTGAAAAAAAAGTTTGTTTGAAAACTTCGATTTAACTCTTGTATCAGTCCTCAAGAGTGTATGAAGTGTTTGTTTGAAAACTTTGTTTGAAAAGTTTAAGTGCGAAAAGTTGTTTTTGTTTTGAAAGAGCAAGTACCTTAGAACCTCTACCTACTCAAAAGAAATTAAGCTGTGTAAATGTCCTTTAGACAATACTATCCCACTATTGAGAAGTAGGTAGCACCGTCGTTGGAGTTTTTCGGGTCAATTCGATTATAGGGACATGTGGTCACCAAAGCAATAGTAGGACGCCATAGCGGTAACCCCAATATCATAGATCCTTTTTATCCGAGGCAACCGTTTCGAGGCAACTTGGATCTTTAGACAGGAGGGCGACCTCTAAAACACCCTATACTCAATGACCACGTCGAGGCAACCAAGTGAGGCGTACCCTAGGAGTGGCATGTGCGAGTGTGTCAAGTTTCAGTTTATATTATCTTTGCACAAGTTATGGTGAGCTACGGGTTGATTTTAATTTCAGAGATAAGTCTTGTCATGCATAGCCTAGTTAACATACATCTAACAGTTAATAGTGCGGAAAATAAATCTACGCTATTACAAAGCGTCGGGTATTTACATCGCCAAAAACAACCCTTGAAAAGTTAATTGCGGGAAATTAAATAAAAGCGATAAAAAGTCCTAATTAAATCTATTACATCCTCGGAACAATTACATAAATATGGTCAAAAATATGAATAAAAAATAAACATACGCGCGAAAAAATTGAATCGGAGAAGTTCTAGGGTTTTGACCCTTTTTTGAGAAAGAAAGAAGTTTGTTATTATTTTGCAATTAGTTAAATTAACCCTAAAACTAATTAATTAATTAAAAGAAATATTTTTGGTTTTTTATGTTTTAATGAAATAAATAAAAAATAGTCAAAAGTTAGTAAAAACCCTAATTCTAATTTATTTTCTTTATTGCAAAAAATATTGAAATTAACCTAATTAAAAAAAGACTAAATTAATTTGTTAGTATTTATTTACAAAAATAATAAATTAAAGGTGAAATTAATAAATAATAATAATAATAAAAAATATTATATTTTAGTTTTCTGATTTTTATTATGAAAATAATTAATTATGTTAATTAAATAATAATAATAATAATAATTAATATTAAAATAATTAAATGAAAAATATAAAAGAAAAAAAATGAGAAGAATAAACCAGGGGGGGTACTGGCCCAATATGGAGGTATGTTTGCAATATTCAGGCCCAACAAAATTCCAGCCACTTTGACTTTTCTGGACTCCCTGCACGCTCATGGACTAAGGCATATGGTGGATATCCAGCTTTGGCCGTTGGATTTGAGTTTTTAAACACATGGCGCTTGGATGTTAGAGGTGCATGATGGACTCCTTTTGGAAAGCTGCATGTGAACATGTTAAGAAAAATAGAAACAAATGTTTTGGGGGACCTGGGGTTCGAACCCAGGTCCCAATGCTTCCAAGCCAGCACGCTAACCACTCCACCATCACACTTCAATCGTTAGTAAAATAAAGCTCAATTATTATATTAACAAACAAATACATGTGCCTGAAAACAAAACAAAACGCGCATATTTTCAAACCAACCACTCAGAGGCTAACACCTCATCATCTTCTTCGCTATTCTGCAAAAATAAACATTAGATAGCGGGGGTTTTTTACCCCCACAATATGCTTGCACGAAAAATAGCGATTAGAGCTATGGTACACATAAATATTTCGCGAGGGTTTGGTTTTTTTCGTCTTGTTCTGACGAATTCAGTCATGGGTCTCACAAGTCTCAATTTTTCCTGGTTTAGGAATCCCCAATTTCAAAGCTTATGAACCCTAAAACTTGTTCATGGCATCTTTGGATTTATGGCGTTTCAGTTCAATTAAGCTATACCATTAGCTTTGTACAGTCCCTAGCAATGCAAAACAATCAAGAAAATATGTTAAATGCGCATGAAATAGACAATACGATTTTGGAAAAAAGTTTCAAACCGTGGTTCTGTGTGTGATGATTCTTTGAGCTTTAAGGCTTGAATTTGATTGCCACACGTTCCTGGGAACTCCTGCAAGGTGTTAGAATCAACAAATTGCCTTGAATTGGCCTGGAATGTAAAAATCAGTTTCAAGTTTTCTTGGAAATTTTTCAATATGGCTATGGTCTTTCTGCAGCTTTTCTCACGTGTGTGCATCAGGGTTTGCTTGCATATATATAGAGGAATGGAATTAGGTCAAAATCTTGAACAAAAATCCATTGCAATGATGATTGAATATTTGATTGAAAATCAAATCTTTTTGCATTTTCATGATTGAATAATGTTGCCAATTTTTGAGATTTTTGCATATTTGATTTGTACACAAAATTTCCAGCATATCTTGACCATATTTGCTTCACCAAAAGATTGAAAAATCAAATCTTTGTATTTTCCTACAATTTAAATTAATTAAATGAATTAATATTAATTAAAAATCCAATTAATTAATAAAAATAAGAAAATAAATTCCCTTAAGCTTGATGGGTCATGCATAAGTCATGGATGAAGTTTCAAGAAGAGATTTGAGGCCCATTAGCAAAAACAAGGTATTTTGAGCAAAGTTGACTTTTGCAAATTCCTAAAAATTTCCCAACTTCTCCAATGCATATCTTGCTCAATTTTGATCATATGAACATGTTATTGGACATTTTGGAAAGGTCTTGAAGTCCTCTAACCAATGCATTTGGTCCCATGTCATTTGGATTTACCAATCTCAAGTTATGGCCATTGACTTAAAGTGCACTTTTGTTGACTTTTGAATTTGACCTATAATGTAGAAATTGATAACTTTTTATGAGAGAATTTCATGGACTTGGAGTGTGAATATGGATTGTAGGAAATGTCATCCCCTTCAAAATGAGCATTGGATGGGATTTTTCTGATGAACCATGAAAAAGTTATGCCCTGGTCAAAATACAGTTGACTTTTCTGTTGTCTAAAAATAGTAACTTTTGCATCTTTGATGATTTTTGAGCTATCCTTGTGAAATCATGATCAAGACTTGATCAAATGATGATTGTGAGCTCAAAATGAGATGTTGACCGAAAATTCTGACTTTTGACTATGAAATGACCAGTTTGCCCTTGCAGTTGACTCTGGATCAAATGAGGCTTTTGACTGTGCAAATTGGCACTGTGAGTCTTGAGACTTGGCATGTAGGTGCTTGAGGATGCATATAGGCTTATGAGACTTGATTGAGCCATTGAAAACTCCAAATTCCTTGAAAGAGCCAAAACCCTAATTTCAGTTGGTTTAGGAGGTGGTTTGACTGTGCAACCTCTTGAGCAATCTTGAACCAGTTGAAGATGATTCTTGACAAATCTTGAGGAATATGGGAGGGAAAATTTTGGGGTACAACACTTACCATATGGCTGCTCATCAAGACTCTCAGCAAAGACTCCAATCGAGTGACTGGAAGTGGATTTGCCCAAACTACTCCTAGAGTGAATGACTTCCTCTGGCTTTGTGCCCATGATCGTCTAGCCCTTCTCCACACTCGACACATTAGTCAGGGATCCTGTTGGTGCCAAGGAATTAATGAAAGCACCGACCATGTCCTCATAACCTGCCCTAAAGCTACTAAAATATGGCCTCCCCTCTAATCTGAACAAGCCTAACCATGGACTTCGTGAGTGGCTCAAGAATGGAATCCAATAAAATATCACTTCTGCCCATGCTAATCTTCCTTGGGCATTCTATTTCCCCTTGCGTGCTGGACACTCTTGTCCGAAACAAAGAAGCCCTGGACCCAAACAAAAAAAGGCTTTGTTGGAAATCCTTATTATATAAATAAAAGAAATTCTTCAATTTAGACTTTATATTTCTTTATAATAAGCAAAGCAGGACTTATTCTTTCTTATCTAGTTACAGTTGATAGGGAAAGCTCTTGTACTCTATAAAGCAAAGCTAGTCTCATAAGTCTAGCTAAAATCAAATATTCCATATGCCAAAGCTTGGAGTGGGAGTTCGGTTCGATCCCTCCTGGAAACTTTCTTTACTTCACAAGAGTCCCCCTCGAATCAGATAACTGGCTTGACACAGCCAAAGAAAAGAGGATAGTTCGATCCTAGATTGAACCGGAGCCTACTTCCTTTTTCTCGGGATCTTTCTCTTTATTTCGGGAAAGGGAACAACACCCTACTATGAATAACAACAGTTCCTAGTCTGGGAATCATATCATCACTTTTATATACGCTATTTATTAATTATTCATAACACCACAATCCAACAGACCTTCCCCACTAGACTGGAGTAGCGAGAAGAGAAGCCTACCTAGGACAGAAAAAGCACAAAGTCAAAGACAGAAGAAAGGGGCCGAGGAAGAACCTGAGATCATGTCGTAGGGATCAGAGATCCTGATTGAGGCTAGTCAATCAGTGGCAGCTCAACCATAATCATAGGAACGAGCCACTATCGATTAGACAAGAACTGGCCTTTCTTTTTGTTAAAGAAATAAGACAGCCGGCGCAAAAGCTACAATACAGGAATCATAGAAGCTCAAGCCCTCAACTCGACCTGAGAAAACAACTACGGTTAGGCATGGAAGGGCTGTCATAGCATCGATGAGTTCGCGCCTTCTATTCGAGTAGAGATCCCCACCCAAGCCTGTCTGTGGGAGAAGAAGGGCTGAAGCAAGGAGTGGAGTTTTCTCCCCATCTCGCCCAACACCAGAAACTATAGATTCTCCAAGAACTTGGTTGGGCTTTCACTTCTAGCATGGAATAAAGGACAACGAGTTCTACTGCTTACCCAACTTTGTGACATAGTGATAGCGGATAAAGGAAGTCTAAGAGTTCCACCGCCCTTACTTAAGGGTCAGGCAGAAGAGCAGCCTTTAGGCAGACTCTAGTATACCACCAGATGGAATAGCTGCGGCAAAGAGGGCAGGCGGAAAGAAGAAGAGCTAAAGGTCGCCACAACATTAGATTCACTACCTCTCTCTGATTAGCAATAGGGGTTGTCAGCCAACAAAGCGATGGGAGCGATACGGCCAGAAGCAGAGGATCAATCGACTGGAATAGCCCTTAACTCCTCACGTAACGCGCACTCTAATGATTAATTAAATGGATCACGGAATAAGACGTATCCGAGATTAATTATTTTTTCATTATATGAGTGGAAAGACAGGGAGAAAAGCATTGATAGTTTTCCAGTTCCACCGCTTGCCTTAATTTAATATAATAAGCCCGAGGGGACAAGAGAAGAGCAAGAAAAGGCCCAACCATGATTGTTGTAGCTTCAAGCCACTCAAGCAGAGAGAAAGCCCTTGTTCAAGCTTGGAGCAAAGACCAATTGAAAAGGTGAAGGATCTCCGCAGCTAAACCATCGCCAAGTTCTCATATAATGGGCTAGCATCCAGTTTAATACAATGAAAAAGGGGAAAAAGCGGATCGGGATTTGGAAGATCAACCACAAGCTCTATTAATTCTCCAATCCACTGGGCAAAGACATACCCGACATACTCAGACTAAGATATTCAGCATATCTGAGTTCTTATCTATAGTCACGAATTTTTCAATTCCTGAATCTGAAACTCTCATCATCGAATTTGTCAGTTAGGGATCGAGTCATTCTTGATCACTAGTTCTCTCTTGATCTCTGATTCGGAGGTCATGTCAAGGTTGTTTTTTCTGAGAGTCTTCGGTTGGCTGTCCGAGGACCGGCTTCGTGAGACCATTTCGATCCACACTGGAGAAGTCCTCTCTCGGGCTAGGCTCTATTGGGAGGAGGTGATCCTTTATTTACTAGAGGAGCTGGAAAGGAAGAGGCACCAATTTAGGTGCTTGCTTCCCCTGCACCTAGAGGATCTAACACTGATGGTGAATATAGATCTGGAAGTTACTTAGATGTTGGTTATAAAAGCTACTCAATTTGTTACTTGGGACTAAAAACCAGCTCCTGCCATTCTTTGCTTCTAATGATAGAAAGGACAGGAGGGAAGGATACGCGCCAGACAGAGGGAAAGCCCGTAGCTTCACGGGGCTGTTCTTTACTCAACATACGCAACTAAGTCTACTAAATAGACTCCTGCCTTTTCTTCTACCATATTTTAGGTTTCGTTCTGTCAGGTGCTTTAATAGCTCGATCTGGAACCAACCTATGGTACTGTCTATGCTCATCATGCTATTAGGTTAACAACCGGATATGGAGCTTGTTATGTTCCTGCCCATGCTCTCTCTGCTGACTCTGCTGTGGGCGTCCCCTCCGAGGGTCTATCTGCTACTTAGTCAACAGGCTATGGTCCCGGATCAACAAGGTCATCTACTGGAACTGCGCCTAGATATGCGTACACTGGAATGCTGGAACTAGAAAGGAATTGGACTATATGATGGTGGGACATTCCCTTATCCACGCAGGTCCATCCAAACTTCTAGTGGGTGGGATATTTTGCTATATCGGAACAGGGAAAGATAATGGACGGAGTTGTGCTTTTCCCACCTTGGCCAAGAAGAGATGTGAGACGAGGTTCTTCAACCATTACTTTTCTTCAACTTTGAATTCCATTCTGTCAGGGTCAAGATCAGGGTCAAGATCAGGTGGTAGCTTATTTGCTGTTGCTGGTGCTACTGGAGGATCTGGGTCTCGCTTAAGAACATCAGAATCTTTCGATCCCAAACGTAAAAATTTAGATCACTGGCATCTGGCTCTTCCTAACGATCACGAAAGACAGAACCCCGAGAACTAGCACTAGGATCCCTACTTTAAGTTAATTCTGGATCTTACTCCCGATAACGAAGATCATAATCTCTATTACGAGCATCCATAACTGCATAGCATCAGAATCTCACTATCGATCTGTAGTTGGCCAGCAACATAGGCTAGGCACCATAGAACATTCCACAATGCATGCCATAGCGATGATGACCACCATAGTAGTGGATAGGCATATTAGTGTTAGCCACCTTTTTCAATAGAATTTCCAAGTCTTCCTACTCGTTGACCGATTCCTGTTGCTTCAGCTCCCGTTCCTTCACGAGCATCTACACCCGCTCTGGTTCTTCTTGTTGTTTGCTTCCTGCTTGTATCATTCAACCTGTGTAAACCACTGGTTAAAGTAAAGAAAGGGGTACCACTTTCATAAGCCACTATCAACCACTGTAATAAGAGCTAAAGGACTATGAACCTTAAGATTGCACGAATAGTGGATCGAGTAAATAGGAATCGGGGAGGAATCGAACCTCCCGGCCGGCTAGCCCGCGTTCCAACCGATTCGCCTCCATCCTCCACTCCGTCCTTCGTTCTCCCTTAGAATCAATAGGAAGACTCTCTGTCTTTTCACCGCTCCGTGGGTAGTCCTATGCACAGTCCACTAGAAGTGATTAAGGGTCTGCCCAGTTAGAGTTTAGTTATTTATAAAAATATTCTTATATAAGCCAAAAGGAAATCTTTTTATCTTCTAGTTCCCGGGTGGCCCACTTTCTTACTTGTCGCAACCGTATCTCAATTGCTAAATCATCAAGGAAGTTCTCAAGGTTTAGAGTGATGTCCTTTTTTTTCCAGACGTTTTCTTTCCCCCGACCTATGACTCGCTTGTTCAGTACTGCTAACCATTATAGGAGGATGTTGTTCCCTCGGGACTACCTGTAGTTTCGGTTGTTGAATCTCGTGCAAGTTAGGTTGTGCTTGTATTGGCTGCAAGCGGGACGTAGGCGCTATAGGTAGGTGTGTGTTGACCATTCACTCTCGCGTCATGTAATGTCGTATGATAGGATAGAGGTGGTGTGGTGATTGACCTCAATGCGAATGGTTATCCCCACCCCAAGATTTAATGAATGAATGAAGCTATGATCGTACCCGGATAGAAATGACAGTCTTCCTCTGATGTCTCTAAGCCGGCCATAATAGAATAGATAGGCAAAGTAGCCAATAGAAATCTGTTTTAGCCTATCGATAGATAGTAGGTTGCTTCCAAGCTCAAACCATTTGAAACTTAATTGCTACTGTATTCTTGTTATTGATAGAGTGGTATTATTCGCCCCTGTCTAATAAAGTAGAGGGAGAAAAAGAAAAAGAGCAAAGGATTTACATGTCTAATGGGAGAGGAATGGATGTCACGTTGACTACCTTCGATAAAAATAGAACCCAAGTGGTCTAAGCCCCGGGACGGACCCCAACCGAAAGAAAGGCGCTTGACAGACTAACGGCAAGCGAGATAAAGAAAGCAGCTGGCCCTGTGTGTAAAACCTTGCCGCGGGAGAGTCTTTCTCCAATGAGAATCAAGCAAGTTTTTGGGCAAGACAAGAAAGGAACTCGCCGACACCACACCAAGGGATAAGTGTTGATTGCTGGTGATGACTTGGTGAAAGGAATCTATGAGAGAAGGTTCTCAAACCGGGTTCCGACCGAATAGAGCGTGGAGCCAACGAGTCTTTTAGTAAGTGGGTGTTAAGCGTAACGAGTCTAGGGGCAGGATAAAGCTTTAAAGGAATGGACGGGCGTAGGCTTAATAGTGAACGCAGACCCCCTGCTTATAGATATGAGATCAATGACTTAAAAGACAGATGCCGAGAGAAAATGTTAGACTTCTTTATTGCGTTGCGAAGAGAGATCAAAGACGACGATTTTCTGACACAGTGCGGGCACTGGATGGAATAGACAGAAAATATATCAACCCACCAGAAGGGCATACCTCAGGAGCACTAATCTCCCCCGGCAAACATCTATCTACACGAAGCCGACCGGAAGAAATATGAAAAAATAGATGCTTTAGGAGTGTGAGATACACAAACGGGGAGCACGCAGACGAACAACCGCAGGGGCTTCCAGCAGTGATAGCTGAACTAACCAGATGGGCCGCCCAAAACATGGGGCTGACATTTAAAGAAATAGGAAATCAACATCGGATCCCGACTATCCGAAAAACGCAAACTGAAGCGGGGGATCACAAAAAAAAATGCAACACAAAAGGGGCGAACCAAGCGCTTGCGCGAAGGAAGAAGCGAATCAACCAGAATGGAGACAGGGAGGAGAGGCGAAAGAGAGATTTTCGAGCCTGCAAAAAAAAACGGCTGAAAAGCCTTTATGCGCTAGCTTGTAATTGAGGGGGGTAGGGATTCCCCTTTCTAAAACTTATATTTAATATAAGGAAGAATAAGGCCCTTTTTTGTTTGGAGTTTTCCCCAACCTATACCTAAGGGCTTACATTTTTAAGCAGCATCGCACTGCCGCATAAACAATGGATCCGCTGGGCTAGATGGGCTTCTCTGGAAAGGAATAAGGAATAGTGAAAAGCCATGTCACTTGGAACGGAACTGGTTGCTTATTTACTTTTTTTTAGTAATACCACTTTTCTTTGGTAAGCCAAATTTAATTATCTTATTATTCTTAGGCATGGTAGCTTACAAGACAAAATCTAGCTTCTAGATGTTCGTTGCCTGAACATGTGGAGGAAGCAAACTTCTGGCCTCTGTACCAGTAGTGGAGTGGCTTGCTACTTAAAATAAGAAAAGGAAAATGGAGCAAGTCAAGGGATAAATAAGTTGTCCCCTCTTCTCTTGTAACCCGCCGCCGGTCATATCGAGTGCTCCGCCCGCCACCGCATATGTAGAAAAATAGGGAGCGGGGATGGAAGAACAACCGTTTGACTTTGGCACATGAGGTGGCGGGTTTGGCTGGGTAACATAATGGAAATGTATCGGACTGCAAATCCTGGAATGACGGTTCGACCCCGTCCTTGGCCTCGGGGAGTGGCGAGCAGCACAAAACTTTCATTAATCAAATGGCATAAAGAAAAGGGGGGCTTTCCTTTGTCAGAAATCCAGAGACAACATTCTGGAACATCCAAACCAAAGAAATGCAACATGAGAAGTTTTACGTTACGCTTCAATAGAATGAATTCGGTAAGGGTAGAATACGCCCCATGGTCGATCGAAGGTCCTGTGCCACTTGAACTCAAATCTATCTTACCTTCCATCCATCTTTATCCAGCCAGCCTGCTCATAAATGTTAGACCAACCAATCTCAGGGCTGACACAACCGAATTGGTTGAGAAAAAAGAAACCCCAGCGACCAAGCACTCCCGCCTCCAAAAGCGGAGACAGAACAACCGCCAGGTTGTTGAAGACACGTCTAAAGAGGAGGCGGGCGCCCTCTAAGTTGACCACCCTACCCACTAATGGACTATAAGGGGGGGCACGCGAACGGGAACCTACAGAGAACCCGAACCGCTTTACTGAACCCTTCATACATACTCGATTCATTAGGGTTGGGGATGGATTAAACTAATAATAAAATAAGTGCAAAAAATCGCGCAAGCGAAGCTGAGAAACGGACTGCAGCGCAATGACTAGGACTCGTGTCGGAGGAGTTTTGAGCGTGAGCTACCACTCATGCAGAGGCAAGGACCCGCAACTCTCGAAGGGGCCACCAACCGCCCGAATCACTGTAGTGTAGGAAAGCCTCCCTTTACTCAATGGATAGCGCTTATCCTCTTTCAATAAAAAAAATGATAAATAGAGGAGAAAGAAAGAGGTCTTTCTTGAAGAGGCTTTGTACCTAGGACTAATAAAGATCCAGAAGAATGGGTCTAGGATTTCGAAAAGATGAAGGGTAAAGATAAAATATCTTTTGAACAACCAACCTGACATAAGGATTATAGCTCGCCCAGTTAGAGAAGATGGAAATTATCGGACGGGGAAAAGCGGCAGTCGACATCTATTCTATTAAAAAACACCAAGAACAAAGCCATACCATGCCCTCGGGATAAACTAGTGATGATTGCCATGAATGCAGCCCTCTAGGACGTGTACAAGAAGGTCTTTGCCGATTCCTATCAACATGGTGCACCTCTAAGTAGAGGGGCGTGAAAACACCATGGAGACTTTGACCGAATGAATAGGTATCAATTGATAGACATTTTGATTGAGGTAGATAATCCAGGATTAACTTTTCGTTCGCTATGTGCTGACTGGATGCTCGCGTGATCGATCGATGGACAAGGGAATTGCATGAATGACGAGACCGGCCTAACCGAAAGTCAAGGCTCTTCCCTCTCTTGATGGCGAATCTTTATTGACTGACAGACGGAACCGATTCGGATAAACAAGAAGCATGGCATGAGATACGCGCCGGCTAAATTTCCGATAGCGAATTACTTGACTCGATGGAGGGAGGGCCCTCCAACTCAAGCACGAAATCAATGTTGAGTCAACAATCATCGAGAGGGGCACCGCCAAGAGAGATCGAGACCAGCACCTTGTATATATAGGTTAGGGAAAAGCCCCTTGTATAGGGTTCCGTTCCAAACCAGCGCTTCTTTAAATATCCCAACAATCAAGAAAGTAGGGGCTTCAAAGCTTGACTAACAAGCGAGAAAGTTTACTTTGATAAAGTTCTCCCAGCAAGACGATGCGCAAACCTCCAAGTAAAGCGTGCTAGTACGCTTGACCAAGGCTTTCTCTGATAGGGACTCGCCGTTGCTTGTTTGGGTCGAGCGGCTTCAAACTTTAGCTTATCTATACTATAGTCAGGGGCCTTTTCTTGCTCGTTAGCGCTATTTTTTGATTACAGGGTGCTAGCTTACTAAAATGTCAATAATATAGAGCTTTTTTCTTTCATCTTTCAGCTTGATCGGAATCTATTCTATGATTGAATAGCAGAAGTGCTACTTAGTAGTATTAACTCGAAGAGACAGACAGAGAGGCAATCATACCAGCTAACTCCTAGGATGATAAGTAGGTCCCTTGTTTTTGGCAGGAATAGTTCAATTGTTGCTCGCCCCTCGGGAGAGTGAGTCTACTTAGTGAACTGGCAGGACGCGGAGATCGATTGATCAATATGAATCTCGAGAGTGGATGGTTGACCGCCGCCCCCTTGTCCTGGAGGATCTTCGGCCGAGGAGGGGCTTGCTATCGTAACCTTTTCTCCCAGTGTATGTGAAAAAGAGTGACAAACCTTTTTTTGTTTGGTCATAGGTTGGTGTTCAAAGAACGAGAGTCAGCTTCCTTAACATAAGTCTGTTGTTCCTCAGTAGCTCAGTGGTAGAGCGGTCGGCTGTTAACTGACTGGTCGTAGGTTCAAATCCTACTTGGGGAGAATTTTTATTTATCGCTTTTCTGACCTAGCGACCCCTGTCCCTCCCCTTAGTTTATAAACTAGCAGAATCGTGGGACATCAAAAGTGGGAAGTTTATTGTGTTTTTTTTATATTTCTTACTCCCTTTTTTAGTTGAGGAACATGGCTCGTTCATTCATTCACTTGCTCATGAACTCGCAGCTTCTCCAGAAGCGACTAGGGGGGAGCTGTCGTAGAAGCTTTGCCCTTTGTACAGAGATTTTTATGAACTGACTAAATGACTAGCGGAACGCTAGATAAGCTAAAAAATAGTATTAGTTCCCAAAATCATCTTTATTTCAGGTTTTTTCCCTCCTTCTTAGAACCGGGGCCTCGGCCCGGGAAGGGGAGAGTGGCTGAGTGGTCAAAAGCGACAGACTGTAAATCTGTTGATGTTTTTCTACGTAGGTTCGAATCCTGCCTCTCCCACTTGTTTGTTGTAGACTTCAGAGAAGATAAAGGAGGCATTCGTCAGCGCAGGAAGGCCCACCGAGCGAAGCTCTTTCTTTTTTTCCGTGCCGTGAAGTTAAATTGTATTGTATGTTAGTTAGAGAGGTTGGAGAACTACTATGATCTATAGATTCCCCAGAGATAAAAAATCCCAACGAGAATAGAAGCGACTCGCTTTCGTTGTAGTCATCGTAGTCTTTTAGCGTAGTGGTCGGCCTTCCTACACGCACGCGCCCTCCAGAATGCCTCCTTGGTTCTGGAAGAAGCCAAGCCGATACACACAATAGGCGAAGGAAAGACCCCCATTTCATAGCGCCTGGGGAACGCTAGTTTGATCGAGGATTGGAGTGGAGAGGTGGAAGAAAAGGCTCGGGATGGATTTAGGAGTCTTTGTGTGAGTCGTATGCGGTGAGAGTCGCACGTACGGTAACAAGGAGGGTTCGCCTCTATACGTGTAGTGTGGTGGTTGACCTACCCACCCTATTTATTCAATGATCTATGGGTCTACTGGAGCTACCCACTTCGATCAATTAGCCAAGATTTTGACCGGATACGAAATAACTGGTGCTCGATCTAGTGGTATTTTTATGAGGATTCTATCTATCGTTGTAGGATCCCTATTCAAGATCACTGCAGTTCCTTTTCGGGCGACTGTAGAACGGACGACCGCCTATAGGTGGTAGGGTAGGGTGGGTGGTACCGCTCAGATTGCGGCCAATCTTCCTAACCGTGTGCGGCGCGGGCCGCGCTTAGAGCGTGTGAAACTCATCACTATCCCGTAAGGGCGTTGAGGCCATAGCATGTTAAACGAAAGTGCCGCTTTCTCTGTAGTGTTGTCACACAGCTGCCCGCCTATAAAGCCACTCGCTCTGTAGTGTTGTCACACAAGATAAGCACGCCGCCCACCAGCTGGCTGGCCGAATCTAAGTTATCTTTCGGTCAACTGTCCACCCAGTCAAGTGCAAAAAACACAGTTGAATCACGCAACGCACGCTGCTGGTGTGCTTCCTGCCCGCGAGGAAAGAAGAGCGACAAGGTTTAGTTCAGATTTGACTGTTTGCAGCATGGGAGCGGATTACCCCAAAAATCCCAGGGAACAATTTTAAAAAATATATCTCGGTAATGAAAACAATAGGGGGATGTATTGGCGAGATCCAACGGTGAACAGCTGTCCAAAAGAAAAACCGCCTGGAAGTCCGAGGACCTTTAGTACCATAACCTACCCCCTAACCAGCAGCCTTTGCGCCAAGCAAGACCGCCCTTGTCCTTTCTCCATTCCGCCTCCTTCTTTGCTTTGTTCCAATATAGTCTAAGGCAAAGCAAAAGTGGGTTCGTATGCCTACTTTACCTACTTGACGAAAGGGAACGAACTTAGTTTCGTTTCCGGGTTTATGGATTGGATTCAGTCAGCGTCACGACATAATCAAACAAAAGGAAGGAGTGACCCTTTGGTTACCGGCAAACGCTTCCAAAGGCGACCCTCTCGAGTTTCCTAGATTGAAGTAGCCTTTATTTTGTCACCCAACCAAACAAAAGAAGTAACTATCAAAAAGCCCGCCCTACTAAAGTACCAAAGGTGCGCTCCGCCCGGTGACTCAAAAAAATGGGTTTGCGCTTTGAAGTGATAAGGTCGCAAAGAGGGAAGTAGGGCTCCTATTGACTAAAGGTTGGTTCTTCAGTTTCCTTTAGAATGAAAGTAGCTATGAAGCCCCTAATAATTATACTGACTTTGTTTGATTAAAAAGGCGAACCCCAACTAGTCGTATGGGGTGGGGTGCTTGTGGTAAGCTGCCTTGGATATGAGTCTGAGGAATTCCTAAAGGCAAAGTCCGATATTTGACGAAGATCTTTCTATCAATAGATAGGATTTAGTGTTCTATATAGGGGATAGGATCCATCTTCTCTCTCTCTCTCTCTCTCTCTCTCTCTCTCTCTCTTACTTAGTTAGGTTTCTTTTTTTTCCAGTGCAACACAGGAAAGCGCCCTCTTTTTGTCATCCCTGCAGCTTTCCAGATTATGTATTGAATGTATGGCGTAGCTAGGATCTGAAAATAATGTTTGAGCCTAGCTTATCCTATGTTCAAACCAACCAAACCCACCCCCCATTTGAATAAGGATGGAAAGAATGCCCGCCAAGTTCAGATAAGGGAATGCTTCCCCCAACCATTAAAGGAAAGGCTCGACGAAGGGAGGGAGATGCGGCGGGGGAAGGAAAACTCTTTCGGAGATCGAGATTTTTTTTATTTTTCATCGAAAACGAAGAAGGCCGAGGATGTCCTACGAAGCGTGTTATCTGAAGGGAACACGCTTTTTTCGACCGTGGTGGTATGATTTGTTTGTCGGGCCCTCTCCTCATTCCGCCCGTAGGCCTATTGTGATAGTAGCCTTCGTTGCCTTCCCTTTAGATATCGGCCCGGGAAAGCGCTAGCAACAACAGAAAGGAAGGGGTCCATGTAGTGCGTCCGCCCCCTTCTTAGTCAATGGGGCAGCAAGTTCGGCATCTACTAAAAAAGAGAGAATCCACTTGAGATAACCACGCCTCTGCTAGGAAGCGTGTGGAATGGCCAAGAGCGGACCTTTTTGGATATATAATCCAAGTGGAGAGTGGAGTTACGGGAACATCCGTCTGATGGAAAACTACTTTCACATTCGGTTCAGAGAGCACTTTATTTTTCGTCGAGAATTCTTCGTTCCCTTTCGTGTTAATTCCCCAGCGGCGAATTCAACACTTTTTGGGCCCTATCTATTCTATCTTTCAAGCCCCGAAGAAAACCCCCCTCCCCTTCGGACTCCATATCTCTTTTGACTCTATATATGTGGGCACCTGATATCTATGAGGGTTCACCCACCCCGGTTACAGCATTCCTTTCTATTGCGCCTAAAATTTCTATTTTTGCTAATATTTCACGTGTTTCTATTTATGGTTCCTATGGAGCTACATTGCAACAAATCTTTTGTTTCTGCAGCATTGCTTCTATGATTTTAGGAGCGCTGGCCGCCATGGCCAAAACGAAAGTAAAAAGACCTCTAGCTCATAGTTCAATTGGACATGTAGGTTATATTCATACTGGGTTCTCATGTGGAACCATAGAAGGAATTCAATCACTACTAATTGGTATCTTTATTTATGCATTAATGAAGATAGATGCATTCGCCATAGTTTTAGCATTACAGCAAACTTGTGTCAACTATATAGCAGATTTGGGCGCTCTAGCAAAAACGAATCCTATTTCGTCTATAACCTTCTCCATTACTATGTTCTCATACGTAGGAATACCCCCGTTAGCCGACTTTTGTAGCAAATTCTATTTGTTCTTCTCCGCTTTGGGTTGTGGGGCTTACTTCCTAGCCCCAGTGGAAGTAGTGACTAGATTTATAGGTTGTTGGGCGGCCAGATAGTTGCCACGAGTCAGTCAGTTTGGGGGACCGAAGGTAGTTCTCCGTGCACCGGACACGTAGCTTACCGAATCAGTTGCGACACTGATGGGAATGCATGCTACGAAAGATAGGGTCGAGTCTGAAACATCAACCGTCTACTCAATATCCTTGTACGAGTCCATAATCACTACACGAGATGAACCTTGGTTTGGTGAATTGAAGTTTGCCTTAGGTGTAAAAAAAAGGACTCCCAATTACTGCGCGCGATCATATACTGAGGTGTTCCCCGCCGGTTGTTGGAACGACGCGAGCCGGGCCTCCATTCAGAAAGATGAAGGGTCCAAACAAAAGTAAAAATAGGAGGTTACAAATTACCCATCTCAATGGGGGCGGAAAACGAATCGACATCTCGATGTGATACAACCTTTTCTATTTTTGTTGGGAAAGAACGGCGAAGTCCATCCGAACCGTCCAATGAGGAATAAGAGGAGAGCAAAGCGCCAATGGCGCGTGAAGCGCATGCGAAAGGGGCACGGAGATAAAAAAATAAGTGTGGAGGATAAGCAACCGAGCTCATTCCCTTCGCTTCCTGGGCCCAAAGCAGTGCAGTCTTTCCTGGCCAAATCAAGGATTGGGGGCTTCTTGCTACGCTACTAAAATAAATCCATTTTTTTTAGTCATATATATATATTAATAGAAAGATAGATCCATCCATCTATCCTATCCTATTTTTATTTTTATATCTAAAACAGAATCGATTTCATTCAATGTTTGATTCAAAGAACTACGCTTATCCCCCCCCCCCCCCCCCCCCCCGCTCATGAAACGACTCTGCTGCAATGAGTGTTCGGGCAAGACTTTTTTGCTTGATCCATTCTGTAATCATTCCATACCTTCTACATTCTTAGTCTTCGCTATACGACAACAAGGGGATTGGACTACTTATATATAAGACTGGAAGGCTGCAACTGGAGGCAATTGGACGAAAGTTGGTAAATAAATTCCATGCCTTAAGCATAGTAAAGTCACACATCCACTAAATGCAATAAAAATAAGGACGAAAAATCAAATTTCTTACTCCCTTGCATGCAAATGAAAGAACACGTACCAATGCCTTCTCTCGGCCTAAGGATAAGGAGTGTTTTCTAGGATGCTAAAGAAAAGAGATGGCTAAGGGGCATAGCGGGAAGTCAAGCTGGAAAGTCACTAGTGACAGCGTATTCTCTACCCGACAAGAGCTATCTTGATGCCCCCTACCAAGGAAGGGGTAAATTCCCGGTTCATAAGCCCTTCCCTTCCATTATTTAATCCATCCATGACATTGTGTATATAACAAAACCCACTTGACCTTCCCGCTTGCCTGTAGAATCAGAAAAGCAAGCTCAAATCCCTGTCGAATCTTTCCTTTGGTTGCCTGCCGACCTATTGCATTAAAGACTGGCAATCGAATCTTTGCTTGGCTTGACGATCCCTTTCGAATAAGCTGAAAGCCCGACCCCTTCCCAATGTTTTCAAAGCAGAAGGCAGAATCTCGGATAGTTTGTTCATGCGTTAGGTCAACCATTCCTCTAGCATTCCAAAGTGAGAAGCCAAGTGAACGAGACCTATTTTTCGAGAATGCAAGTTCCATTCGCAAAGCCCAAGCCAAAAGCGAGTAGACCGAATTGCTTGCTTATGTGAGGTTCTTTCCTCTCGCTTGTTCATCTTGTTTTGAGTACTCGACGAAATAATAGCATAAGAGAAGATATTGGACAATTGAGTCCACTTCGATATCACACCTATTTGAGTCGAGAGTTCCTCCTTTGATTCTAGCCTTGCTTGGGAGGGAACCAAAGAGTATCTCGGATAGCCTTTTTTGCATTCGGGCATGCCCATATTCAGCGACCTACTGGATGTTGGATTAAGAAAGGAATAAACAACACGAGTTACCGCACTATCAGAATACAATTGATTCAACAAGCACGTATAGATAGGTTGGGCATAGCTATTTCAATCTCTCTCGCACTCGCTCTCCTGATCGACCAGACTGCATCGATACAATGAAGATAATAGATGGGAGAGTGACCCTAAGTACAATGATTGCCCTATGAGGTACCGTATTGGGCTCATGTTTTTCTTTTGCCAATCAGGCATCAGGGGTGATCCATTAAAACATTGTCCACAGGCCCGACTTAATGGGGATCCATTTACATAATCATAATCTAACCAGTGGTCACATTCAAAGGATATAAGAATCAGTCTATCATGCACTTAGTTTAATCTAATGGATCCTTGGTGCATACTTTATCAGGTAATTTTTCCGAATATGATTGATTGACGCATGCGAATAGCTAGAAGAGGGGAAGACTGGCAGAGCATAAAGTCATGGGGTTTGGTTTTGCAGATCATCATCCTAAGTGGTTGAATCCAACCTGAGGTATGTTATATTATAGATAGAGATCTTGATTGATGCATGGGTCTTCCTTTCTAATTTTAGTATGGGTTTCCGCCTCATCCGGTACATGTATCTAAGCTGGTAGTATCAAGTCAACGATACATTAAGACTTGTTGTTCGATAGGCAAATATAGGAACTATTACCACCCTATTATAATATAATAATAGAATTAAGGACCCATATCTACAAATAGGATATCCGTGAGAGACTTTCTTTTACTAAAAAGAATGAATGCATTTATTTCATTTCAAGTGAGATGTCCAAGAGAAAAGGAACGAGGTTTTGAAGCAACGAGAACAAAAAATCGTGAATGAAAGAGCGTGACGAGTTTTTCTCCATTCGAGATGTTAGAAGGTGCAAAATCAATAGGTGCCGGAGCTGCTACAATTGCTTCAGTAGGAGCTTCTGTAGGTATTGGAAACGTATTCAGTTCATTAATTCATTCCGTGGCAAGAAATCCATCATTGGCAAAACAGTTATTTAGATATGCAATCCTGGGCTTTTCTCTAACCGAGGCTATTGCCTTGTTCGCATTAATGATGGCCTTTTTTATTCTATTTGTTTTCTAAGTTTATCCTTTTGAAAGGTGTAGTCCCTGAGGACGAGGCCCCCAGCAATGGGGGGGGGAAAGAAGAGTTGGTACGCGGGCTTCTTTAACTTTCGTTTTGGAGAGAGCATTGTGGAGCAGCAAAAGGCATAAATAAGGGGAAGCGGCGGATTCCCCGGAAAAACGCCTTAAAATAGCAAAGGTTTTGGAGGAGCTTTCCACAAACCGTGATTCCTTGGTAAATGAAAATTTGGGGCAATAGGCGGCCTACGGTTTTGTTTTATTATCGCCGTGCACGATTGGGAATCAAAGGGACTAGCAGACGTACCATGAGACTTTCTCGTTGTTAGTTTGCTTGCTTTGGTTTGTTTCCGGGGAGAGGTGAGTCGCTTACGCTGTAAGGAGACAGGAGCTCTCGAGCTTAGAGAAGTTCCCTAGGCCAGACAGAGGTCTAGGGGGAGTCCGGATAGAGGACTCTTTAAACTTAACCGGTGGGCCCGCATATGTAGGAAGGCTTAAGCTTTCGAACTACATAACAAAAGCGACTCCTTCTCCTTGTTGGTGTAAGATAGGTGTTGGTCCGATTCACCAATGTAAGTTATAACCTGACGGGTCGTTCGTGTGGAGAATCTCTCTCGTGACTCAGGATTTCTTGATCTTAGAGTGGCCCTACCCAACTAACTCTGTCTAAGTAAGAGCTCGCCCTGGCTTAGTCTTCTCGATAGCAATGATAGAAAAGGTCAGTCCTTCTCCTATGAGAGACTCCGAAGTGGGCTGCTTTCAAGGGCTAAAATTTCCCTATTTCGACGTGAGATTGGCTTAGCTTGGTCTTTCTGTGTACCTAGAGTCAGTCTTCCCATAGAGCTTCAAAGATTCTGGTCTGGTTCGAGAAGCCTTATAAAATAGGATCCTTTTTTTAGTAAAGTACCCGTGGGATTCTATTTGCCAACTGATCTGAGGGTCAGGAACAGAAAAATAAGAATAAGTAGGACAGGCTCGAGGTCAATTCTTTCTTTTAGGAGAGATCCCACCCCCTTCTTTAGCGCTTGTTCGTAATAAAAGACTTCCTTCTTGTTCTCGATCGGTGAAGGAATCGGAGCAGCTATATAATCAGTATCTGACTCTTTAATGGCAAGCTCAGCAACGATCAGTTTTCCTCTGCTTTCCAGCTCTAGTTTAGTTTTTTCTTAAATAAAGCGGTGGTAGCGCGTCGAGATTTCATAACCGCAGTGAGAGTTGCCGCTGCTGGGGTAATACCCTCAGTAAGGATACCAGTCTCAGGAAGATAGCCAGAGTCGGTTGTGAAAGAAGGAGCTGCTGGCTGGTGGAGTAAGCACTTTTCTTGTTACAGTATCCTTTGTTAACGTAGACGTTGTTGGGACTGATTCCTTGCCTGCTTTGTGTGGAAGTGCGTAAAGTAGGCTCAGCTTCTTTGGTAGTAGGTGCGATATTGAAGGAGTTCAGGGCTAAGGACTGGAGCTTTATTCCCACTCCCAGTAGAGGAGTCTGTCTTCAGTAGTTCGCTTGGAAAGTCGTTTTTCGTAAGCATGAGCGTAGCGCTTCGCGGGTAAAGGGGTTGGATTAGCTTCTTCCCTTTATAGTGGCTTCTGTAAAGGGGCTTTGCCTTTAGGCTAGCAGTAGGAGGATTCTCTATTGCCGCTTTGATGTGACCACGAATGGCTCTTGTTTTCAGGAATCCTATCTTCCTAAACATCGTCTCACATGCTCGGCCAGTAAGTACCTCTGCTTTTTTTTGTCAAGGCCTAGTAGTCCACATAAACCATTTTGTGCCTAATCTAATAGCTAATGTCGAAACTTCTATACAGAATGTAACATGTGAGTCCTTCTCTTTCAGTTATGGTGTAATTGCGCTCTGTCGGTGACAACCTCCTACCCCACAGACAGTGAGTGGGATGATCCAGTTTGGAAGGCCCTTCTTGAACCAATGTATAATATATAGCGGATCCGAGAAAGAAAGCTATCTCAGGGCGAAAGACATCTTTTTAACCCGAGTCCCTAAGTCCGTAACTGAAAATAGCCTTTCTTTTCCATTCAAAAATGAAGCAAGGAGTGGCTGAGCAAAGTAGTCTAGCCGTAACCGCTACAGTCAAAAAAGTCAAGTAAGAAATGATAGAATGAGGTACTTTACTAGCTTGGCTAAAGGGGAAAGGAATATTCAAGCATTCCTTCCAATAGGGATGGGGAAGATCTTCTAATTCTTCTAATCCACCCAAGAATGGGGAAAGGAACTTAGTCCGATCTTCTTCCGCCTACGCTACGTCAACTGGACTTTTGTCACTATAGTAGCGAGTAGCTCAAAAGCCGCAATAAAAAGGATTTAGGGGGAAGAGCTCAGGTCCGGCGATGACTACAAGAAAGAAATCGAGCGGGGATAAATCCAATTTCATTGCCAGAAGGTATGGTTGTGCCTGAAGAAGGGCAGTCAGAAGAGGAGAAATCAGCCTGAGTTCAATTAGTCCCAGCGTTATCAGTACAAGTAGCCAGGGGAGTGTACCAAACAGTTGAGGAAGGAGAGGTTGTTAAGGAGGCAGCACGACACAATAAATAAGATCCGAGTGAAGCATAATTTTTGACTACCTAAATCAATGCCCGAGAGCATTCAATAAATATTCTCTTCCTCTATCTACCCCTGCCTCAGTTGGTCGGTCATGGGGCTTCCCTCTTCCAAGAATTGAGAGAGGATATTCCGCTTTTACTCAGTACACAGATTCAGATTAGTCAAAATAGAAATAGACAGATTCAATCCCGGATTGGAAGGAGGAAAGTAGGTCTTTTAGGCCTACCTCACATTTGTCTTCTACGAGGGACGAGGGAAAGGCGGATTAGGATGAAAGGATTTTTTAGTTCATACCAGGCACAAAGGCCTAATCAAACCAGCGGGCGATAAATTCCAGATTAAAGTATTGGAGGAAGGGTGGCTACTCTCTCTTTTGAGATTGTCAGAGCCAGGAGTTTAAGAGCAGCAGTCCTTATGCCGACAAGAAAGGGGAAGACTTGAATAGCAGACAAAGTGGAATATGACTCACTAGGAAAGAAGAGATTAGTGCTTTGGTTAATAGTTGGAATTCTCCCTCGTAAGGTAGGCTCTAGTTCGACTAGATTTTAGCTGGAACGTGGTTACCCGAAGATCGTAGTCTCAATCCTAACGGCCAAGGAAAAGAATAACAAATGAACGGTTGCAGCCATTCAGTAACAAAACCCCTCCGTCTTTTCCAAAAAACATGAGTTGAAAGAATCCCCGGAATTAGACTACAAAAGTCAAGCCTTCTAAGAAACTAGAAAATTGAGCCTCAGCTCGACCAGTCACTTGACTGTAAGAACGACTAGAAGGAGAGGACTTTGACAGCTCTATGTTTCATGAGGTCGAACTTCGAATGAGCTATACACTCTAGGAGAAAGCCACTCTACCGACAGGGTGGTCACCGACGTTTCAAGGTGCTCGCTCTAGTGAGTTAAGGTGTATGATCAGGCCTCCTACATGGTATCCCTGCCTTACATCAATTCGATAAGCTCTCACTAAGTCATTGAAGATAACTGGGATACCACTACCGATAAATCCAAGATTTCGGTTAGCCCCAATTGGTAGATAAAAAGCCTTTCTTTCTACCCTTCACCATATCATGTGGATGGGGTTCATAACTACTCCTCTTACTACAGGACGCTTACCTAGCCGCTCCGGCTCTGCCCAAACTTTTCTAGTTTACTCCAACATTCCCTACTTGTCTGACTGTTGCTGAGCTGTTTTTGGATATCAAACGGACCTCTCCAGAAGGTAATTTTAATGTAGCCCCTCTTTTGCAATCAGTTTCGCTACAGCACCTGCTGCTCTAGCTAATTGTCCACCCTTTCCAAGTGTTATTTCTATGTTATGTATGGCCGGTTGAAGTATATTCTTATTTTTGATCAATCAGTTCCATGGCTTACTAATATATTCATTCTTGCGCAATTAAGAAAGCGTTAAAAGCGCTACGCACCTTAAGCACTAGAAGGAATCCGAAAATAGGTTCACCCCTTAGATCGATCTTCCCCAGCCTTGCCATCGAGAGTGATACTTTATCCAAATCTTTCATACCCTTGTGGAAAGCATCTTGATTAGAGTTATAGGAGAGCGAGAAGCGAGGTGAAGAGGCTGGTATGCTATAAATGAGCGATAGCCTTTTCGTTAGCCCCAATCCATCCTCCCGATAGTCTGATTATCTGTTATTCAGGTAGCTAGGGGGTAAATGGCTTCATCATCTCAGTCCAGTCTTACTGTAGCCTCATGGAGGCCTGGTCGATAAGTCAACAGATCTTCCCCCTAGTAAGAAGTTCCTATTTTATCTACTACCCGCTCAAACATTCCGCTTGTCGTCTTCATCTTTCTTAAGAAGCCAGAGCAAGTACATGTGCCTAATACTCAAATTAGGTTCTCTTTCCACTTTGACTTCGACTATTCTTACTTCCTCGACTCGACCCCGATATCTCAAATTCTTAACAGACTCTTCCTCTGCTACCAATTAAGTAGCACGAGTGAAAACTCTTCCCTCTTAGGAGAACCTAAGTAGGTCATGTAGAAGTCAAGTAGGCTCATTCTAGTTCGGTTGGTGAGTACAATATCACTCAAGTAGGTCATGTCGAAAGGGATTCGTGGTAGTGATATAAGCGCAGGCCTACAGAGAATCAGCTCTTGCAAGCGAGTCAAATGTTGTTGATTATTGCTTTCTATCGAATACTACAATACCCGTCCTCCACTAGATACATCATTCAGAAATCGGGCAGTAGATCGGTGCGTGCAAACATATCTTCTCGGACAGAGGGACCGGAAAGACTTCTACAGGCTTTCTTTTTCTCTTCTTTACCGCTTGGAACTAGATGTAATCGAACTTACACTTTCTGAAGGCAACCCAAAGAATAGACTGGTAGGACCCTATTCGCGCACCTATGGTTCAATGTAACCCACCCAGTAACTAGTGCCCCCAATGGACCTCTCCTATGTAACTCCAACTGAAAAGGGGGACAAAATATAAATTTTAGATCATGGGCTTGATTGATCATACTTGATGACTGATTGATGGATACCTTTGTTATATAGTTCTGATGAACCCCACGGATGTTGTCTATAGGGGCTACCTGAAGCTATTCTCCGATCGGTACCTATACCCACTATTCATGAACATAGTCGATGTTAAGGTTACTATAGATGGAAATGCTTCCACCTCAGCCCTTCTTTTTTTCTTAGTAAAGCACATAGAAACCCTCTAACCTAGGTCTCCTGCACTCTTATTTGGTTTAGAATTGGGACAAGCCAAAACCTTCATTATTAGTAAGATAGGTTGCTTTCTTGTCTTTATGAGCGAATTGTGTAGGCTGAGGGGCTACTAGCGGGATTCTTTGGATAGAAGAAGATCTTGGTAAGGTTTAGCAGGGGCTTGCCAGGTTTTGACTGAACCTGGAAGTTGAGGTAGAGGCTGTAGGTATTGCTGAGACTGACCTAGCTGAAAGGGATATTTTTCTAGTCTCACCTGAGAATGCTGTAGCGGCACTGGTTGAACCTGCTCTTGCGCCTGAGGCTCTTTGAAGTTGTTGCAGTTGAAGCTGAGTCTGCTGGACTTATTGCTGCTGAAACTGCGAATTTGCCTCTAGACATGTCTGAGTGGAGGCCGTAGTCTGGTAGTGCTGAACTCTTGATGGTCTCTCTTTTATGAAAGGGATTGCTTTGTGACATAGGTTTACTCTTATTCTCGGAATTTCTTTGAGATTGTGGGCTAGTCTGAATCCTAGATGCAAGCTTCTTAGGTTGAGAAAGGGTGCTAGTCTCTTGTGCTTTCATCTTAACATTCATCAGTGAAGGCTCAAAGATGTCATACATGGGGGACTGCATCTCTTCTGAGTGTAGACCTTTATGTAGATGACTGTGTCAAAGTAGTAAGAAAGGCAGCAATAACGAGAGATGTCTCTCTCTCTCTCGGGCGCGTATTGCCGAAAATAAGGTTTTGCTTCAGTTGTGCTACTCTAGACCTGCGGAAGACAGGTGCTGCATGCAAAGGCCTAAGTCCCGTGATGTGCAGAGAGTGTACACCAGTCTGTGCTCGTGCGTCTGGGTGATCCTCAGGTGGAGCCCAGGTGTCAGTGTCAAATGTGTGGTAGAAGCTAAATAGAAAAAAGAAAGGAATTTTGGCGCAAAAGGTAAGAAAGAGGGGGCGATCTCGATAAGCTAAGCAATTGACTCTTTGTTTGCGATTCTTTCAAGGATGGCTCAGATCCAATATCGGTAGCGTAAGAATTAGACTTGTGTAAGCCTGAGGCCTGGACCATAAAGTCTAAAATTAAGTATAGGCCGGGGGCAGCAGCTGAAGATTGGACTGGAACCCGAGAAGGACAAAAACTAGATATCTTTTGTGGAAGTTACTTACGACCGGGCTTCACTAATCTGTAGCACCTGAACTCCTGAGCTTGCTTGGGTGAGTGGTGGGATGATAAATGGACTGGTCGACCCTCTCAAAATTTTCCTGTGAATCAAGCCCTTCTTTAAAGAGCCATTTCGGTAGGTTTTAAATTGAGTCATTATAGGAAAGGAATAGCAGACCGCGGAAAGCAAGCTACTCTCTCTAAACTAAATGGAAAAGAGCTTATCTTATAGTAACTCTCTCAGGGAAGCTTCCTTCAGGATTAACCAATAGGGTAGAGGTGAATCAGCTTTATTTCCTTAGGAGGACGTTTTTCTTGATTTTATTGAGTCTGCCTTCGCACAACCGGCACAGGGTATTCATAGCTGCTGGTCTCGACCGGTTCACTAGAATGGTTGGAGCAACAGGAGCTCCTACTCTCCCTAGAAGCTGATATTGGTTGTTGGCTAGGCTAAACTTGAACCACCAGGCTTACCCATTTTTAGATCATGCCTCCGTAGTTTTTGGTATTAAAGCCTTCCATTTCTCTGTGACTTCTGGAACGGATGGGACTTTTCCCTCTCCAACTAGACTATAATAAAGGAGGGTCGGCCCGGCCTGTGATCATAGTCCGATAGCTATTCCTGCCCCAACTTAACCAATGGGGTCCGATAGTCAGGGGTAAGAATGAACAGAAGGCGACTAACCAATCTCTCTTTGAAACCAGATGCCCGGAGATGTTTTATTCGTAGGGCTAGGAGATCGGTGAAGAGGGCCGGACAACCAAGCTAAAAGTTATTCCATTACGGCTACTCCGAAATTTTGCAATACCACCTTATCCATCCATTACTGGAGACAAAAGCAGCTATCCCTAATGCCTTGCCCCTCTCCCTCCAGTCGGGAGCTAAACCCAGGGAGTGAGAAGATAAGGAAGGGATGAATCGGCTAGGAAAAAATAAGATTTAATCGTGTTAATGCTAAAAACTCGAATACCGGGTATTCTCTAACATTTTTAATATCTTATACTTGGTTTGAATCCAATTCCTGGTAAGGAAGGCAAAGATTCTAAAGAAATTCCTGGATGATGAACAAGAAGCACTGCAGCAGCAATAGCAAGTCACTTTGGAACGACCCGGCATCGAGCTATCTACTCCCCAACAACACCACCTGGGGAAACCAAGCGAAAGAAGACAAGATCTAATCTCCAAGCATTGTCTTGTGCTCGTCTCGGTGAATGGACCCAAAAGACATATTTAATATTTTTATGATAAAGCATTCTGAATCGACATGAGCAAAAGCCCCCGTAAAATCTTCAATAGGAAAAGCAGTTCAGCAAGACAATGGAAGCAAAATAAAATAAAAAAATAATTGTCAGAGAACGGAAGGAATTTATGAACGGTATGACCGGGGAATCCTGCCTAGCAAAGCCAAGACTACCTAAAGCTAAGACTCCTTTTCGGGTGCTGCCGGTCTGGATTGATGCCTTTCCTTCTTTCCAAGATTAAGGATCTCCCAAAAGAAAGAATGAATGACCTCACCTCAGGAACAGTCAATGGGAAATCTCGCCATGCCATCGAGGGGCTAGTGTGACCATCCATAGCATACGACGGGCGAGAGGGGTACGTGGTGGCTCAGTGTGTCTACTAGTTTATGGTGAGGCTATTCGGAGATCCAAGGCGAGTCCCGATTCCATATATACGGTTAAGCAAGCCCAGCCGCCAGCTTCCACACAGACGACAAAAAACGTGAGCGCCTGGCGCGAAAGGTTTCTTTGCTTTACTAAAAAAAGAATATAAGGCGCGTTAGCGCTTTAGTTTTCCAATAAAGGGCAGAGCGAGCCTAGAATAGCAGCCTATTACGTTACGTTTTCAGGCCCCTTTACTTTTTACTTTTAATTTTAAAAATAAAGCGCTAGTGCCCCTAATCCTATAGAGTCAGGCTCTTCTGCTATCAATGAAACTGAAATAAAATCAAAAACCCAGTGCATTTTATATAGATCGAGAGTTGTAGCTAGATTCTTTACTCATGACATACTGGGAAGAATTGCAGGAAATCGTTCGATAAGACTTCTCACTACCATTTTAAAATGATATCCGACGATCAAGACAATTCCCGCGAACTCTTTAATTTCAAATCAGTTTCTTCTTCTACTTACAAAGCAAATAGCATTTCCTATTGATTTGTCCCCTATCCTATAGAGCTGGACCTATTATGATTCTTTCTGAATTACTCGTCGCTTATGCTGTTCCCAAGGACTAGAAAAATCGAAATAGCAAAATTCTTGGGTCATCTCAATGGGTTCAAAAACCACACATTTCTCTGGATCATCATAACGTACTTCTACATATCCACTCAGAGGAAGGTCTTTTCGTAATGGATGACCCTCGAAACCATAATATGTTGATATACGGTGTAGATCCGGATGATTGATGGAAGAAACACCAAACATATCCCAAACTTCTCGCTCCCACCGGCTGGCTGATGGAAATAGACTGATTATTGGAGATATTTGTGTTACTTCGTCTGCACTGGTTTGTATAAGAATGCGTGAGTTATACCGAGTACTCAGTAAATTATAGACCACTTCAAATCTTCGTTTTCGAGAGGGATAATCAACTCCGCAAATATCGATCGAAACATGAACCCTTGTATAGGTATGCAATTTAAGAAAGCACAAAAATTGAAATAAGTAGTCTGTTTTGGTACCATATCTATTCCCATGTTCCGATCTTTCAAAATAGTCAACCCATTTTCCGGGTAAAGAATACAAACAATATCTTAATAAGAATCGGTTATCCATATAAAGATAACGAATGCTTTCTCCTCATTCATATTCTTTTCCTGCTCTAAAAAACTCGCGCCAGCTTGGCATGATTATATATTCACAGTAAAAGTTATCTGCTTTGCTTTCTTTTAGCAAAGACTTATTGTAATGTAAATCGCCGGTTGGGTTTACCAACCAAGAAAGACATGGGATTTGGTGGGCAAAAAACTAGCTTTCTTCTCTCTCTTATGATATTTCTATTGCTTCAACGGCTACTTCTCTTCTCTATATGCAATTACTTGGCGTAACTGAACTCAACTAAGCTTGCATCTTACTTTAAGGTTTTATAGAACCTAAGACTCTTAGATAGATAGTTTCAAACCAAATGTGCAATTCCCCCCCCCCCCCCCCGACAATCCGAGTGGGGAACTAAACCAGAAGCACTACGAACACTTTCAACAAAACGAGACCTGCCCCTATCCTATATAGTAAATTTATAAAAAATATAGAGTTAGCCGGACTTCCCTTTCCTGGGTATTGGTCTCCCTCTCTTAGTAGGAGCTTGACTATGTCCACAACAATTTGTGTAATATAAATTCAAGGCTCGTCGAGACCTCGATGTTTTGGATTTATTCCTAGGTGCGGGCCTTTCCTTCTTCTTATTGTAGTTGATTGAATAAGGCTTCCCCTCTTCGTTTCTTCTTTGTTCATTCGTAAATCGCGTCTTTTTAAGCCCGGTCAAAATGATTCGATTTTTATCTGAGTCTACGGAGATAAATCTCTCTTTAAGCGAAAATCCCCAGTTTTCTAAAACCTTATCGTGATGATCTCACTCCACGGAGGGAAAAGGTTTGTTAATTCATTCAAAAGACGGGCTTTCCTAGCTCATATAGTGGAAAGCGCCCTTCCCACATCGATCCCTCGAGGTGGAAGAATGATGAAACCTGCCAAGTAATATAGTAGGCATGCCCTTCCTAATCCTCTATCGAAGGAAACCCCTCCGAGGGTGAAAGAGGTGGCTAAGTTTCCTTGCCCCAGGGAGCTTCTTTGTTTATGGAACTAAGCGGGAAGATCTCCGGAGTGTGCTTCTATCGCCCGAGCAAGAGAAGGGCTGCAGATGAGCTATCAAGTCGTGCATTTCTCCTGAAAGTGAGGAGAATGCCCTGGATATCCTCATAGGTGTCGGGTTTACCAGGCTAAGGTAACTAGAAAATTGTAGTTAGCGGGTTTCCCTCCTTCCATAGCATCTTGCTTTCCTGGGTAACTATTCGACAGACGAAACCCCTCGATTTTATTCTTATCTTAAAGTAGCTTTCCTTTCGGGTTTGACCAAGATTCTTCCCTAGGGTGCTAGTTTGTTTATGTCACTAAGCATGATAGCTTAACCGCGCTTCTAGCTCTATCTCTAAAAGGAATTCTTAAACCGGCCATGCCAGACAAGTCCTGGTTTAAGTTCCGCCATCCCCTCTCCCAGTTGCTATGAATCGAGAGAGCCCAGTCGCTCCTCCTTCCTAAGGGCATAAATAGAGGCATCACTCGAGTTATGCCTCTTCTAGTAGATCCAATCCAGACAGATCTAGTATACGTACAAGAATCAGAAGGGGTCTTATCCCTAGGTGAGGGGATTGTGCAACTTGTTTTTATCTTAGTTAAATTATGGGTCTTTCTCTTTTTCTTTCCTTTCTTGTTCCGTCCTGCGCTAAGCAAGCGAGTCTTTCATTCCTTGCTCAAGTAAGTGAGGACAAGCCCCTTTCGTTTATCCGGATCTCCCTATCCGGGGACTTATCCAACAACCTCTTATGGTAAACAATATCTTATGTACTCAGACGGGCCACTCTACTCCCTGTGTTCTTTCAACGTAGCAAGGAGGCCGGCGGAGAATGCCAAGTCAGTCATTCACACTCAGTCAGAGTCCAATTTCCTAGCAGAATAAATCCAAAACAGAAGTTATGCGTCCTCACCTTTCAATTGAGCAATTGTGTTTCTTCGTCTTAGGCCTCCAACAGAGGTGTATTTCCTTTCAAAGTAAAAGAACTGAGGGGATTATCTCTCTTTTTTATACAAAAGGGTCAGGCATGGTTCACCAGGCGTACTAATTTCATTCGATAGAATGATGATAATTTTTATCGACCCTCACTCACTAGGGGAAGCACGGACGAGTGGAAGACTTGGGTGTACGTAGTTCAGAAGACTATCTGCTTCAAAAACTACTCTTCCTCTTGAACTTCTTATTGTTTAGTTAGTTCAGTAGCTCTTTCAGTTCGAACTTGCCGTTCCGAGTTGCTTCTCTCTGTTTCTGTGGTTAGTGAGTTATAGAGTTGGAGCAGTTATTCATTCTTTCTTGAGTTCTAGTTTTTAGAGTTGTGTGATTAGCTTCCATGAGCGGATATGATCCTCTTCTAGGGCTCGTTTCGGAGTTAAACGAACGTTGTTTTTAAATAAATTATTCCCTTTCCCGAGTTAGACTTTTGAAGAGATTGGTGAATAGACACCAGTGGAATACCTTAAAAGAGAGCCGAAGGAAGAGAACTAGAGAGTTGGAGGGAGGGAAGGAATAAAATCCTAGATTCAAGACAATATAAGATCCTAGAGTCTTTTTCGAATGCCCTTAATTTAACTGAGATCACCAATTAAGATTGAGCTTATGGTAAAGGTTGCTTAGAGAAAGCCTCTCTACAATGAGAGAAAGCCATAGAAGCTGGCCTTACAAGATAGGGGGGCTGTCCAAAAAAGGAGATTCTTTGATTTCATACCCAGTAGAAAGAAGGGCAGCTGCTAAGATCCCAAATCGAGATTGGATAGATGGGAGTAGCTCATACTCGGCTCGGGAAATGATGTTTGATAACTAGATGGATTTGTTCGTGAAAGAAAAAAATGCAATGGTGGGAAATGAATAGAAATGGCTGGTATGTTTTAGTCTTTCCCCTAATGAGGTGTCGACATCTGTGTTAGTTCCTAGGAGTGATGTTACAACATCCCTTAGTAAGAGCATCCGAGATAGCCAAAGATCCGAAGGAGAAGCAAGAACAAAGGTGGTAGCACATTAGAAATATAAGAATTCAAATAAAATCCAGCTTAAAGCGCTCAAGGAACCCTATTTCATTTCGAGATCCCTACCCCACAAATTGAGACCGAGTTCCAGTTCAATTTTCAATTTTTTTTCTAAACCAGCATCAGTGACTATCTAAGAACCACCATAAAATTACGAAACAAACTGTAGTTTGCGGCAGTTACTGTTTTTATAGCCATAGTCTTTCTTTGGTTCGAAAGCAAGATTGAGATCTATATTTTATATAAACCTCTGACGGAACAGAATGCAACTTTTTCCTATTGATCCAGTTTACGTTTACTAAATCAGTAGTTTGCCGTTGATTTCATTTAGTTGACCGAGAATCAGGAGCAGCACCATAAGGGGAGGCAACATCTGAGCTAGTTTCATCTGTCGATTGAGTTGAATCAGCAACAGAGCCGATAGCCTCACCAATCTATATAGTTCTTTCTCAACCATCAGTCTTTGTAGATTTATTCCTTTCGTGCGTTCTTTTTATCTAGCCATAGTGACTCTCTATCCCATTGTGGGAGTGGGTGTTTAGGCGGGGCCTAAGAATGAATGATTTACGCGCTCCTTCGTTCATAGCACGGAGTGGGATGTCTATGTTCCCACCAGAACCTATATACGTGTCAATCAAGGCCTTTTTTATTTTTGCCTATGATGCCATGCCTGCTGTTACTTCACTCGGTCAATGGGGATAAACCACTGTATCTCGCTTTTTTTATGCTACTTAGACTTGAATCAACCAACCGGATCTGTTCGATCTCCTGCGGCGAGTGCTGCTTCTTTGACCAGTGCTTCCTACGCCTTTTCCCGTGGGTCAATTTCTCTTGGTTTTTGCACTCTGAGAGAGAGGAGGGGGGATACCGTAAATCCACTCTGCTACAGGCTATTCAGCTAACCTTTTAGAAAAATGTCTTAACTTAAAAAAATAAGAGAAGAAAGCCTCAGAATGAAAGAAGGATAAAGCAGAACTTGCGTAAGATAGAAAGATCTATTATCCCATTTCTTTCCTAAAAAAGGGGACCTACTCTCTTTTCTAAATCCAATCCATAGCCCGTTCCAGTCTAACGAGATTCCTCCCTTTCACCTTTCGGTCGATTAAGTAATTGATCCAGTCGTTGACGTTGCAGGTGATTCTTATGATTCCCGTCACGGCCACCACCTTTTTATTTAAAATCTGGATCCATAATTTTGGCCGGTTAGCTACTGAGATAGCGTGGCTATTGATGGGTGTTGAATGATTCTTGATAACGTGGTTTAGAGCTAACATAGATTCAATTGGGGTAGAGGTCTTTTAGAGCCTGATTGACCAGTTTCCCTGATGAAGAAGAAAAGAACTCGACTTTGCCAAAGACTTATGAGGCATACTCATCTGAGTCTTCGGGTCCATAAGTCTATACTACCTCCTAAATAGAACTCATTTGGTTAAGCAGTAGATCCAGCTTATGACTCTATTAGATAGACGATGCTCAGATAATCCAGTTCTCTAACGTTAACTAAGAATACTATAAGAGGAGAGGAGAAGTCGACTCTTGTACTCTATCTATGAAACCTGCCGTGCCTTTATCGTTGGGTGGGGATAATATTATTGATGGCGAGTGGTTGAGTATATAAGAGAAAGGCAGCTTTTAGGAGTGATCTTTCTTTACTTCGGAGTAGAATAGGTGCAGGGGGGGATTACTCTGAACTAACTAAGCCTAAAGGCTATCCAGCTTAAGGATTTAATTATTTAGACGGGAATACCCCGTCGGTAGCAAAGGCAGAAGGAAAAGGCAGGAATGCACCTTAAGGGGGAGTTCCTGGGTCACGAGCTGGGCTTGCACCAGCGCTTACTAGATGCATGGTCCGGATTTATTTCTGATCGTTTGATAACTTGGTTCGTCCTCGACAAAAGGCAAGACTAATTAAGACTACATCCGGGGGGATAAGGGGTTCTTCTCCCAAAGTCCGTCGGGCCGACGATAACCTGCGACAACCATACCAAGACCTAACAAGATATTTTTATCTCTCCCTCCGTTTTTGGCGCCAAAAACCAACTTGTCAGCACGGCCAGGGCGCACGGAGGTGTGTCCCGGGAAAAAAAATATACCAATCCCGATCCATTAGGTTCTTCGATGTGTTCGTTTACAAAGTCAGTCAGTCCCTTTGATCTTTCTCCCAATCGGCAATTCTCACAGCTAACTCTATGTGGAGTTTGTAATTCCTAAATTAATCTTTATGTTCGACCATATCTTCTAGAATGTTAAGGATTCTGAGTCGCTTCCCTGGGGAAGCTCTTTCGAGCTTCAGATCCTCCAGACAAAGTTTCTTTATAACTGTGGAGGAGGTTCTCCGCCCTTTTCTAATATAGAAGATTCAGAGAATCTTTTCTTTTAACCATGAAGGACTAGGAGCTTCCGGCCCCATGACCTCGGTTGGTTGATTCGTAGCAAGGAGCTCCTCCTGGTTTGGGTCCGAAGATGACCCCTCCTCTGGAAAAAACCACTTATCTATCCACGAGCCACTCCACGAGGAAGAGGAGGATGCGCCACCTAAGGGGCCCGCTGGAGCAGGAGCTTGTTGTGAAGCTGGAAGGTCCATCGGTGGGGTTTGGAAAGTAGGGCTTTGTTGGCCGCTGGATGGTTCGGGAGCGGAACTTCCCTAACAATCTGAGGAGAGGTTTAGGTACTGTTTCCAATTTCCCTCGTTGGTACATTACATGTTCCACCCTCACTCTCTCCCTTACGATGTGCTCTACCTCTCGGGCTAGTTTCAAGTTCGATCATAGACGCAAGCAATCTAGTATAGCCAGCCTGCCTTTCAAAACAAAAGGCTACTCCTTTCTTTCTTTGCAACTGGAATATAGGGACTGCTGCTTCCGAATCCGGGAAGTCCTTCTCGAAAGAGTCATCTAAGGCTTTTCGACTTCAACTTGCCTTTAAGCCGGCCAGGCCAGACTGCTTCTTCGAGTGAGGACTTGCTCGGCCCAACTCGGTCCTCTCACTACCCGAAATCCTTATCTTATCTAATCTGGATCAAGGAATTTACCTTAAGATCCAGCGCCTGCAGAAGTAAAGTGATAGGAGAAGCTGCTGGTGGGAAACATCTATTCATCACACCCCTCTCACCTGAGCCTCCTAGAAAGAACCTTGGTCTCCAATCTGCAGATGAGTGTCTTCCCTCTTATCCCTTCCCCATTGTTTGGGTTTAATTTCAAGAGCTTGCCTTAGTATGAATCCCATCTACGGCTGAGTCAATAGCACCCTCCAACTTTAGTGATTCAATTGCAAACAGAAAGACAACTGCAGTTGTTAGACTAGCACTTCAATTAGCTTTGACAGTATCCTATGGTGCGAGTGAGCGTTCCCGATGCATCGAGAATGGTAAAGTCTTCAATTAACCGGTGTAAGCCTATCCACTCTTACTATGAGGGTTTCCGGTTGCTAGAATCAGCAGCTATAGAATATTCCTTACCTTCTTGACTGGTGTTACCGGTATGGGAGTACGAGTAGTTGGTGGTGAAGGCAATGATAATTGTCGTGGGGGCTATTACTTAACTTCATGTCTACCCGGTCCCTGTTATTTTTGGTGAATGCGTAGACGCAATTGGTGAAATAGAAGCTCTTTAAATAGCCTTTGGCTTACGTAATATCTATCTCTTCTCTAACAGCTATTCTTTGAAAGAGCTTTCGCACTTCAAATAAGATAGCAAAAGTCAAAGCTAGTTCCTCTTACAATATACTACCGCTACCTTAATCCTATCAAATAAAAATATTTATCCTTTGAATTACTAATATATATCTTATGTATTAATTTAATTTCGCACCGGAAACTATTCTAGGAGACGTTCAAATCTGTTCCATTCGGATATTGATCGGTCTTGGTTTGACATGGTTTACGCGTTACTGGTTCCCGGAAGAGTTAATATCTCCATTAGCTAAACCCTTTGTTACCCTGTCTTTGGACTCGTATTTTGTTTGTACGCAATCAACGGAGGCCTCCCCGACATATGTTGCAACGTCTTCAAAAGCATGTTCTTACTTCGTCTTTCCCTTAATAAGTCATCAAATTTGGTGCTTTTTGATCCCCTGTTGCTATGGGGAACAAAGGAGGAAATACAATTGATTCCTCTATTTAAGTGGTTCTCGCTTCTCCTTGTTCCTGTTCCTAACTCTTCCCCGGGTAGTTCCCAATGTTTGGTACTTTCTATACTTCGTGGGTGCAACATCAACAAATTCGCTCATGATCAAGTTATAACCTAAGATCTATGACCATATTATGCTAACTGTTCGTATTTCGTTCATTCCATCGGTATGCTCTCAGGTACCTGTAATTGTGATCTGTTTGCCATAACCAAGGGGTCTTTCTGTGGAAACCTTCACGAACAATCGTCGTTTTTTGAGGGTTTTTCTGCTTCTCACCGCTGCTCTTTCCACACCTCCGGATATCTGGTGCCAAATCGTCACCCATTTCCTTATTTCTTCGATAATTGAGTTGATTATCTTTGTGGCATCGATTGTATAAGTTCGCGAAGAGGTTGGACGAGTGGAATGAGGGAAAGCGGCTCGATTGACAAAAAAGAAGAGTAGCCCCCTATAACCTGACAAAGTAACTATAAAAGAATTCCCGAGTAATTCTCAACCAACATATGCGATTCATTCCCGTCTTAAAAAACAAATAAGACTTATAAATCAAGCAGTTAGGAAGTCCTAGACTTTAAGCCAGGCTGCTTAATTATTCTATTGAGTTGCCTACCCTCAGGTCATTCGCTGCCTTAAGCCCTACAGTTTATTCGCTAGCCGTTGTTGGGACTTAGTTAAGAGTTAGCCTAGAAAGGAAAGGCTTTGAAAGCAAGTCAAGAATTCCAATCCCAGCGGATTAATCAATAGCAGTAGAGTCGTAAACAAGAACAGCAGAGGCTGAACAAGTCACTTCCTTATAGCGTGAACAAAACAATAAGTTAGGGCGTTTGATTATAAAATTCCTACTGTTTGTTTAGGAGATTTATTGAACAAGCCTTCTAAATAAAGACTAAGAAGAATCATCGAACTAATGGACTTACCGCTCGCTCCCATCCAACAAGCAGTTAGACTTCTTTTCCAAGGAATTAAAATGTGGATGACTGGACATCAGCAATAACAGGAGCCGAGCTTTCACAAAAACATACGAACCTACCATCTCATTTAAGGGGTACTTAAATCAACGTGTCAATCATCCCTACCCCGGATCTTTGGACTTAATATCATATTTTTTTCTGGGCCCGGGTTAAATATATGTCTTCAGCCGTATTTAAGTTATTGTTGCTGCTTGGGCACTTGGTTGGACCGGTACCTCAACAGCACTTGTCTTTGCCTCTCTCTGAGCAAGGTATGTAGGGTGCTCTATACCTTATTTATTTTATGCTTCTCTCTAGACTTGCTTCCTCCCTAGATCATTAAGTCCTTAAGTCAGGAAGTAAATAGTCGTCCCGGTAGTGGGAAAAGTCCGATTGCCTGGTAGCCCCAGTACTATAGGGAAGGCCTATTCTTCGTATAGGAAAAGCCTCACTATCTTATCTCTTAAACCCTGAAAATGATTCAATTTTTAATTTGATAAGCATGTGATTCGCATCTTGGTCTTCCAGCCTCGATGAAATCCCCCTGATTAGATATGGGGGAAAAAGTTAGACAAGCCTACCCATCATCAAAGCAAGCCCAAGTCTATGCAAGAAGGCCAAGGTCCTGTCCTCCGGATCTATCCAAATTCAAAGAAAGAGTTGGGCTACATAAAAGATCCTATTCTTTAATGGATATAGGCTTAACTAAAGCCCAATGCCAAGCAACGCCCTAGACTACAAGTGAAGAAATAGGGTTCCACTAAGCCCTTAACCCGACACAAGATGCATTTTTGCTTTTTTTAAGAAAAGCTCCTTGACCAAGGGCCCACTTAAATAGAAGGAGCTCGCAGAATACTTCAGGGCTGGAGTGAAGAGCCATCACCTGTCAGGAACTGTATAAAAAAGGACCGAGAACTACATATGATCTGAGACTAACTTCCTTGAGAAGAGGGAGACAAGTAATGTAGGTTGTGGCCGTTCCTAAAATGTAGCGGTAGCTCGACCAAAGCCGGTCAATAAGACAGATCCGGATCCTAGTGCTTTTGAAATGGTTTGATCACTAACAAAGACAAGCATGGGAAACTGCAGACTCCCGCAACTCCAAGAGCTCAAGCCTAAAGCCTTAGTAACGCACATCCTCATTGCTCGCGTAAAGCAAGCGTATAAGGTTTATTGATGGACATTCCTATACGTCTTTTAGATTTGCTTGTGTCGAACCTAGGAAACCTCTACTATTTTGTATTAGGACGCATGCCATCTTATCCCACTTTTTTTGAATTGGTTTCAAAAGAATTTCCTAATTAATTTAGATAGTTTGATTGAGACGGATCAGCTCCATGAATAGTAGACAAGGGAAGGAGCTACAATTAGATAAGAGAAGAAGGCTAGCTATATGCTGAACACATGCCTGTTTTCGCTTCCCCTTTAATCCTTGAACTTCAGGTAACAGCATAAAGAATCTATTAGTTTTAGACTAAAGGGTTCGTAAGAGCTACTTCCCTTGCCGCAATCCCTATTAGTTAGTCGGGGACTGGTCCTTCCCTCGATATTACGCTCTCTTTTTTCACGAGTTAATTTATCCTCCTACTAGCTGTACAGGAAAAGGAAAGTCTACTTACGAGATTGACCGACTTGCTTCCAAGCCGAGTTCCTTCCTTCGGTAGAGGAGATAGGGCTGCTAGAATAAGAGTTCACCACTATCTACGCAATTCTCTAGCTTCATTCTTTTGATAATATTCCATTTTAGAGTGATGCTCGCACCACTACACTCACTCACTCATTCCATCGACGGGAGAAGAGGTTCAATCCATAGGCGAGGTGGAGACTTCGGTATAGGGTCTCCTGTTCGGCGCGCTACTACTCTTTGGCTCCTTTACTTTAGTTCATCATTTCTTTGCAACTCTATTGATCAATCTCCTCTCATTATCAATCGACCTTCAAGACTTGCTTACGATAGGAGGGACTCGAAAGGCTAATCCATGAAAGACGAAAACTGAATTAAAGTCCCAATAGATCAAGCCGAGGTAGTAGACCAAATCGTCTATCAATGTCCTCCACTTACTCCACTAGGTTGGCTAGAGCCTTGTTACTATAGTTCGCGCTACTGAGATCATCGTTGATTGGGAGAGATAAAGCTTTTGCGCTTGGGATCTTGAGCCAGCAAAATTCTTGTTTTAAAAGACGTATAGGCAATTCTTTATTATGATCATATGGATCGATTTTCGTTACTTTTCTTTCCATAGGCATACATTGCAGTATAACCAACTTTCTTCTTTTAGGGGACCGATAATCCTTCTTTTGATCCCCCTCGAGCCTACTATCGTCTTTCGAATTAAGCTTTCGATTTAGTTGGTGCAGAAGCTGAATGATCAGCTGACACTAGATAGGAAAGGCTTTCAATCGAGAAGCTCTCGAACCTGTTCCGAAGTCAGTTTAGAATTCGGTTGGTGTTCCGACATCCCGAATCGAGGTGGCTCTAAACTCAGGTTTACCTACCTCTCTAGTTAAAGAGAGAAGATAGGGCTTCGAAATCGAATTTCCTCTCCTAAGTGCTTGTGGTTCCAGACTCCCTATCTTGGTTGGCTGTCATTCCCAGAGGAGTTAGACTACTTTCCACTGATAGTATCCAACAAGGAGTGAAGAGAGGAAAAGTTATCTCTAGCATATATTTATTTAACGAAATCCATCTTTCTTTTGATATCAATTGAACAGAGGCTTAGTTGTGTGATTCATATCCACCAGTGGATCAAGGGTAGGTTTTTAAAAGGCTTTCGAAAGGAAATTCCTGCAAATCCTGGAAGGATAAAAGTCTACCCTTGAGTTAAAGCATGCCCTTGGTCCTATTGCAACTGCTTCTAATTCACTTGATAACTGAGCTAGTCACCTCTTGACTTAGTAAACTACCCCATTCGTAGTGTCAAGCCTTCCCTTCCTCTACTGTTGGTCGACTAGACTAAGTCAACTTGCTCATGGAAAGGCAGGAGCCTGGAAGCCAGGAAGAACGAGCCCTTAAATTCTTCTATTCTGACTTCTTCTACCAAATGAGCATAGAAAGAAGGGTAGACGCTCCTTTAGCCATCAATCCATAACGAGACTTAGGTGATCCTATCTCTCTT